CTTCTCTGCTATTTGTAAGGCCTCGTTGGACAGCCACTTTGCTTTCTTGCATTTTCTTTGGGATGCTTTTTGTTGCTGCCTCCTGTACAATGTTATGAGCCTCCAGCCATGGTTCTGCAGGCACTCTGTCCACCAAATCTAGATCTTTAAATCTGTTCTTCACTTCTACTGTGTATTTATAAGGGGTTTTTAGTTTATACCTGACTTGTCCAGTGGTTTTTCCTACTTTCTTCAGTTTGAGCATGAGTTTTGGTATAAGAAACTGATGACCAGAGCCACAACCATCTTCAGGTCTTGTTTTGCTGACTGTATAGAGCTTCTCCATCTTTGGCTGCAGAGAACATAATCAATCTGATTTCGGTATTGCCCATCTGGTGATGTCCATGTGTAGAGTCGCCTCTTGTGTTGTTGGAAAAGAGTGTTTGTGATGACCAGCTTGTTCTCTTGACAAAACTCTATTAGCCTTTGCCCTGCTTTGTTTTGAACTCCAAGGCCAAATTTAACTGTTGTTCCTTTTATCTCTTGACTCCCTACTTTAGCATTCCAATCCCCTATAATGACAAGAACATCAAGAACATCTTTCTTTGATGTCAGTTCTGGAAGGTGTTGTAAGTCTTCATAGAATTGGTCAATTTCAGCATTGGTGGTTGGTGCACAAACTTGGATTATAGTGGAACCTCTATTTACGAACTTAATCCATCCCAGAAGATGTTCGTTAGTTGAAACGTTCGTAAGTAGAAGCTCCATTTCCCATAGGAATGCACTGAAAACCGATTAATCTGGCCAGAAAAAAACATACACGAAAAATTGAAAATAAACACAGCAAGTCCCACGCCAGGACTGCACAAAATAACCCACCAAAAAACAACACAGAAACATAACCTCCCCAGCCCAAATCTACCTTTCAAAACCCACCCTAAACAATTTTTATAAAAAAGAGCACCTTACCCATCCGAAGCCTCCCGGGGGTCCCCCAGCGCCGCAATCACCACCATTGGAGACCTCCTGGGGGTCCACCACCACCACGCAGGGTATCCCTGGGGCTTCCCCACCCCGACGCAGGGTTTCCCCAGGGAGACGGGGCCTGCCAGGGAAAGCTCTGGTAGACTGGGCCTGCCAGGGAAAGCCGTGGTAGACCAGAGCTTCCCCTGATAGGCCCAGTCAAGCCCGGGAAAGCCTGCGTCGGGGTGGGGAAGCCCTGGGAGGCCTCCGAAGGCGGCAATCACGGTGGCAGGGGACCCCTGGGAGTTCTCTGATGGCAACTGCAGCGGTGGGGGACCCCCGGGAGGTCTCCAATGCCGGTGATCGCGGTGGCGGGGGACCCCTGGGAGGCCTCCAAAGGCAGTGATCATGGTAGCGGGGGACCTCCGGGACGCTGAGCCTCCCTTTTCCTAACCATTGGGGCAAAAGCCTCTTCGACACCAACTGTTAACAAATTTAAATTTCCCACCCTTTCCCATGCCTTTTTTCATTTGTATCTTGAAGCTCCGTTTGCAAGTAGAAGCAAAATTGCGCAAATGGAGCCGTTTGTAAGCTGGATTGTTCGTAGGTAGGGATGTTCATAAGGAGAGGTTCCACCGTACTGTGATGTTGAAAGATCTGCCTTGGATTCGTATTGAAATCATTCTATCATTTTTGAGATTGTATCCCAGTACCACTTTTCCCACTCTTTTGTTCACTGTGAGGGCTACCCCATTTCTTCTATGGGATTCTTGCCCACAACAGTAAATATGATAATCGCCTGAATTGAATTTGCCCATTCCTGTCAATTTTAGTTCACTGATGCCCGGGATGTCAATGTTTATTCTTGCCATCTCCTGTTTGACCAAATCCAGCCTACCAAGATTCATAGATCTTCTATTCCAGGTTCCTATGCAGTATTTTTCTTTGCAGCATTGAGCTTTCCTTTCACTTCCAGGCACGTCCACAGCTGAGCGTCTTTTCGGCTTTGGCCCAAGCACTTCATGAGCTCTGGAGCCGCTTGTCCTTGTCCTCCGCTCTTCCTCAGTAGCATGTTGGATGCCTTCCGACCTGAGGGGCTCATCTTCCAGCATCATATCATTTAGGCTTTTGTTTTTGTCCATGGAGTTTTGTCATCTTCCAGCATCATATCATTTAGGCTTCTGTTTTTGTCCATGGAGTTTTCTTAGCGAAGATACTGGAGTAGCTTACCAGTTCCTGTTCCAGGTGGATCGCGTTTAGTCAGAACTCTCCACTATGACCTGTCTGTCTTGGGTGTCCCTGCATGGCATAGCCCATGGCTTCTCTGAATTACTCAAGCCCCTTCGCCACAACAAGGCAGCAATCCGTGAAGGGGAAGGGCACTTTAAGAACACACAAATAGTCTATGTTTGAAGTATGGAGAGAAACCAACTTAGATGTGACCTCTACATTCTTCTTCTTCTTAACTTTAGAACTGCAGAGCTGTAAGGAACTGTATGGACCATCAAACCGAGCCTTTGTCAGGGAGGCACAGTAGGGAACTGAACTCCCAACATCTGGCTCCACAGCCAAACTGCCAAATTAGAAAAAGTTCCTAACTTCCCTTAAAAACATATTGAAGAAAAAAGTACCCAGCTGAGTTGGAACATAAAAATCAGGCAAGTGTAGAGAATATTGGGCAAATGCTTACACATTTGACCATTTCACACGGTAATCTTCTGCTGACCAAATTAAATTAGAGAAATAGATTCCTAGAAAGTTTTTGAAGTTAATACCTCAGTGAAAATGTATTAATTGCCTCCTTATGGAAGACAGCTGTTAAAATAAATACTAAAAAGTCAAGTGGCCGATAAAGTTTGCACAAAGCACTAAAAACAGTCGTTCTACTACCTATAACGGCAAGAGTTCTGGTACAAATTCCTCCTGTTTTCAAATACTATTTTCTTTTTTCTTCAAATTCACCTTCTAGCCATCAAAAATACAGGTCAACACCTTTCAAGCAACTGGAACAGAGATGGGGATATTCATAAAGCAGGTCTGCCCCCTGGAACCAGACTGTCCACTCATGTGTCCCACTCTTCCCATCAACTGTGGCAGTAGCTTTGCCTTCTCCCTGCTTGGCTCGCCACTCAAAGCAGGACGAGTCTCCCCACATGGGAGCTGAATGGCCAGCCAAGCAGGGAGACAGCAGAGCTGCTGCCACAATTAGTGGGAAGAACAAGATTCGCGGCACCGGGATATATGAGTGGACGGGCTGGTTTGGGGAGCCAGATCTGCATTAGGTGCAGCTGGGATGGGGATATTCGTATCAGTTTACAAATTCAAATATCCCCATCTCTAAATCTGAATTATTGGATAGTCTGTACCATAATTTATTTTATATGTATGAAATATTACCATATGGCAAGAACATTGCTCTGTATACACTGCAGAAAAAAACCCTGATATACTTACACTGTGGACTTTATCTGAGCAGATCCTTTTGGCAACTGATTCAGGTAGAGAAATATATTTACATCTGGTTTTAATGCAAGCAGACTTGATGTTGGTTCAATGCAAAATATGGATTTAGCCATCATAGCAGGATTTTTACTATAGTAGAGCAAAAGCTGTCTATAAAAATACCTTTAAAGAAAAATTAATATTGCAAGATCAAACATAAATCCTTTAAAATGTGTAAGGTTACACACATAACAACTCACTGAAAAGCCAAACTACATATTCATGAGCTTTTAAATAAGGCCACAAGTTTAACTTGAGGAAAAGCAAAAGCACCATACACTTACCTGAGAAGAGAGCGCCTAGCAGTAACAACAGCATGGCTGTCATGTAATACTCTGCCATCAGGGTGACTACATTGATTATAATTACAGTCACCTGTTCCAATGGCCACCACCTCATGCTGTCTAGCTAGAAAAAGAAGAAAGAAGTTCAAAGTTCAGAATTCACTATTTAGCTTGTTTGGTAACGTCCTTTTTAAAGATAGTACTGTAGTTTTTAAAGAGATACACCTACCTCTTTCAATTATGAAAGCAGCCAGTGAACTACTACAACTCTGGTATTCCGGGTAGTTAGTAGTTAAATTGTTGAATGTTTCCTTGACAACTTGAGAGATTTTTCCATATAATAGATGCCTGCATTCTAGTAAAGTAATAGATCAAGTGGGAAAAAATAAGAAGCAGAAATTTAATAGTATTGATGTGATTATGTGAATAAGAAAAAGTTACATTAACATGTGGTTTGTTTTGTGTTTAAGAAGGCAAATGGGACCTAAAACAGAAATACTCCTCAGAAGGCCAAAGTGTTGCAATTTCTTCAACACATATGAGTTTTTACAAGTAGAATGATCCCAAACATAAGATTCTCATCTTCAAACTGATAGTTCAGTTCCCATGTGGAGTAAGAAAAAAAGGATTACTTCTACTCCATGCTTATCTCTTGTCACCATTAACACCTGAAAACCCACAATTGTCTATCTGTGAAGTAAAAACATCTTCATGTGATTGGAAAGAGAGAGAGAGAGAGATTAAAAAAAAGACCTACCATAAGGAATCTTTGAACCATAATCAAATTCAGCTGCAGTTTGTATTTCGGTCACATTTCTGTTTTCTGCAAGGACCATGGGAGGATCTGTAGACATAATACCAAATTGTGAACTGTATAATGAGTTAAATCAGAAAGTCTTCATTTCTGCATTATAGCTAGAGGTTAGATCATCGTATCACAGATGCCACACTTTTCTTCATGCAGTATATACTCCTGATGCAGGGTGCCTTGAGCAGCTGGAAAGCTATGCATCTATGGTTCATTTAAGGCATACACTGACAGCTTCGCAACACAATTAAATCTTACTGTGCTAAATACATGCCCAAAACAATTGACTAAGACTCAAAAATTTATGAGTTCCTGAGGAAAGCATCCAGGAACCCCTACTTGGTCTTTCAATCAGCACCAGGTTTCTCATATAAAGTATGAGTAAAGTAAAGTAAACTACACAATATTTAATAGACTGGTTCACAAATATTATATTCCTTTCTTCCCAAAACATAATTCTAAAAAAACTTTTACCTGGGGCTTCTAGGGCCTTTGGTTTTGCCTCCTCCAACTGCAGCAGTTCATCAAGAGCAAGCTTTGCTGCATTTGATTTGGATTCCTTCTTATTTTGTCCCATTCCAGTTTTATACTGAATACCATCAACCACAGCACAAAAAGCAAAATAGGCTCCAAAGAGATTACCTTGAAAGCATGATGTGGTTAGTTTTATATAAATTAACAAATGTAAGATTTTAGACATCTTATAAGCTAAGAATACTGATAATTAACATTTTACCACCTCCAACATCACTGTATTTACAGTTCAAGTTGTGGAAATCAGTTTGTCAACAGATGCTCAAGAAACGGTCATTCATAGCCACCAATCTTTACCAAAACATAGCTATCCCTGTTATCATGATTTCTGACCATCAAGAATGATAAAACTATGAATACTTGTTTTCTGTTTCTTGTCAAGACTGATCAGCTAATCACATACATGTACTTCTTTCAGATAAGAGGTTTTGTTTTATCAATTCCCAAAACTAGAACTTGGAGTTTGAATTTGTCTTTCTTTGAATAATAAGTGAGAAAAGGAAGTAAGCCCTCGTTACTGATTTATATCTCCTATATACACAAGAATTTGCTGTTGTTGTTTAGTGTGTCCAACTCTTCGTAACCCCACGGACCTAAGCACACCAGGCCCTCCTGTCTTCCACTACCTCCCAGAGTTGGGTCAAATTCATGTTGGTAGCTTCGATGACACTGTCCAACCATCTCATCCTCTGTCATCCCCTTCTCCTCTTGCCTTCACACTTTCCCAACATCAGGATCTTTTCCAGGGAGTCTGCTCTTCTCATGAGATGGCCAAGTATTGGAGCCTCAGTTTCAGGATCTGTCCTTCCAATGAGCACTCAGAGTTGATTTCCTTCAGAATGAATAGGTTTGTTCTCCTTGCAGTCCAAGGGACTCTCAAGAGTCTCCTCTAGCACCACAATTCACCACATACACAAGAATAGTAACACATAAGGCGGCTCTACAATATTAAAAGATCAATCAACGAATTTAATTTTAATCAAACTGTCCAGGTACTGAAATAAACATGTGAAACTAAGTAATACCAGGTAGGTGGCATTTAGAGATGCCACTGAAGATTTTTAGGATAGCCTAGTAGTAACAAGCCAAGGTCCCAGGCACAGACAAGATTTTGAACAAACCAGTATGCTAATTCACTATTTCACATAAAGTCAGTACTTGCAAAGTCTTAGTATGCAGATTCCTTGCAAAATGTTTTTAATTAACAGAAACACTTACCTGGTGTTACAGTTTCCTTTAATTCAAGCTGTGCACGCTGCATCTGTGCAAACTGATGCAAAGCTGACACTGGGTTTATCTCCCCTCGTTTGTATTTCATGATGAATTCCTTTGAAATTTTCTTTCGAGGAAGTGAAGAAATAGGAGCAACAGTTGTTTTGAAATTCTGGCAGTCAGGACCTTGACCTAAAATGCATTAATCAGAAGGAAAGCGGGAAAAAACTTGGCCACTTAACTGACACTGAAGCTGAGCAACTATAATTAATGTTATTAGTTATTTATACCCCCCTCAAACTCTTAAGAAGTTTCCGTTTATAAGTCATAAATTTCTTCCCTATAGCCTATTAACAATATTTCAGTTTGCTCTCTAAGGAAGACAAAAAAAAATTTAAAAACAGATGTCAGTTTAACAACAGAATCATCAAGAGAAAATAATCAACTATAAGAAAATGGTGCTGTTTGCATACACAGTCTGTGATATTTCAGATACTTGCAAAAATTTGTGCTCTGCTCAATCACTTCTACAAAATCTACTGGAAGCAGTGACAACTTGATCCAGCTATTACTGCTTTGCTTTTGCTAACAATATCTATTATCTGCCCATGTGTTCTGCTTTTAAACCAGCAACCGTGAACAAGGATGAAAGATATAACCACATTTTCCCAAGAACTCCTTGGGAGTCAGGCAAAAGGATAAAGAAGCACTTTACGTTTTCATTCTTTATTCATATCAGTGTGTTGTACAATTTTAAATTATGGATTTATATGAAATACATGTAAAATTTAAAAGCAAATTGAAATGTTAAAATATTTGGACTATTTTTGACCAGAAGCAAGCTACTTCAATGTTATCTCAGCCATTTACTGTATCTTCTTCTGTATATTTAGTGAGGCATAAGATGCACACATGTAAGTGTTGCATTGACTGAATTTCTCCAGTCACAGAGAATCTGTCCTGTGTTCAAGTAGTCCCATTTTACTTGATTATTCTTTGATCTTCCTATTCATTTCCAAGTCTATTAAGTGACTTCCAAATATTCCAGCTAGAGTGGTATTTCTCAACCTTTTTCAAGTTGAGACCTCCTTTAATAATAGCCAAGTAGACTGTGACCTTCCCCCACATGTTCATAAAATGCTTTTAATGGCATAAGAAAATACATTTTTTCAGAATATAATTCTAACCTAATATTTAATGAAATGGTTGTACTTGCAATTCAAAATTCATCTGTTTGCAGCAGCATTTTCTACATTATGTGCTGTAGTCCAACTGAAGAAAAAAGGCCTACTCCAATAAAGAATTATAACATTTTTCTACTATCAAAGTGGCAGGGTGATCAACACAGAAGTGATCATTAACAGGGACAACTTACTAATAGCAGCAGTGAGGTTCCAAGGGCTTGCAACAAAAGTCTGAATAGAATAGGGGATTTGTTATTAAGAAGAAAGACAAGTACAGAACAATTTTCTTTCTTTTTGTCTACTTACAGGTTTTATATAGTTTTAATTAGAATATGCAGTGACTTTTTCTAGCCTCCTCAGCCAATAAACTACAACATAATTCAAAATGAGAATTTGTTAACTCAGTTCATCAAAACCATTAAAGTGAGACTCAATAGGCAACAAAATATTAGAGTATCTCCAAGAGCCTTCAAAGGGATTTTTTATGTATATCTCATGGTCTCTTTTAAGGCAGATCACCCCAAATCTATCTCCAACTTTGGTGAAAATCCACCAATTTATGAGAAACTAGCTAGGATGCCTCTAAAATTATTTTCACATACACTGTTAAACCTATATGTGAAAAGAAAAAACTCTGAAGCACACTCTTCAAAATAACCAGCCAGTCATTTTCACAGGACACAATAACAAACAAATTAAAGCTAAAAGTTTTGTGAATTGTAGCCCATATCCTTAGACACATGAAGTATATCCCGAATATCAGTCTTTAGGGTACTACCATACTCCTTGTTGCATATATTATGTTTTTCTAGTAACACATTAGCCCAGTTTTGGTTTTTACAATGTGCTGTTAGGGGACTCTTAAAAGTGCATTTGTGTTCACATGACTGTCTAAATGTTCTATTTCATTCTGTTTTTGAGAGATTTTCTATAAATTCACAGAAATTTTCTTTGTTCTTGATCTTAAGAACATAAGAACAACCATGCTTATTTAGGCCAGGGTCCTACAGTATCTAGTTCAATAGCCTGACAAAATTCCCATGACTTTGTAGGGCATGAGTCAGCTGTACCCTCCATTTTGTGTTCTTAGGAACTGATATGTAGAGACATACTGTCTCTGGTACTTGACTTCCATGATCCAACACCTATTAAATAAGTGGATATACGTAAAAACAATGTTGAAGATAGGTAAAATTCATAATGACATGCCTGCCAAATCTTGTGTTCCTCCAACCTTTACACACCTAAGATTACAACGAATACAGATGAATTTTATAGTTTAAAATTACCCATGCGAATTTGTCTTTTGGCCAAACAAGCTATTAGCCATGCTAAAACAGAAAAACAGTTCCAAACTAGAGATGGGCACGAACCTTGGTTTGGAGATTTGTGCTGGTTTGTACACATAGCACCAGATGCCACGTTTCCTTTCCCCATCTAATGCCCCACTCACCAGTCGAAGTGCACTCTTATCCTCCTCTTCTTCAGCTGTTCAGCAAGTCCCTGGCACCAGCTTGCCTGTCCTGCCTCCTTCTCTGAGGCCAAGGAGGTTGGGCAGGGAAGCCCATGCTTCTGCCGGCTGAAGAGGAGGACATGCCACCTGGTAAGTGAGGGATCCAGCCAGAGAGATGGGGGAACGAGTGGCACTAGTGAAGATGAGGTTTGCACCCATCTTGCGCCAAACATTTATTCACTCTCTTTTTACCCCACCTTTCTCCTTTAAACAGGACCCAATGTGGCTTACATAGTGAAAATATAATATTTAAAGCTAAAAACGTACTGTATATACTTACAAAATTAGTTAAAATATAATATTTAAAGCTAAAAACGTATATACTTACAAAAAAGAAACCAAAAATCAAACACTATTCTAAAAAGACAGTAATCTAAAAACCACAAAAGTAGTGATGCAAAACAATCCATTTTAATACCCCACTCAGGCAATTAGTCACTAAGGTGAAAACATGCCTGAAGAGAAAGGTATTTGTCTGCTTACAGAAGGACAGCAAAGATGGGGTCAGCATGGTCCCCTGTGGGAGGAAATTGCAGAACCTTGATACAGCTACAAAGAAGGCCCTCTTCCAAGTCCCCACCAAACATACCTGTAAAGGCGGTAAGACCGGGGAGAAGGCCTGTTCTGATTATTTTAACATTGGGGCAGACTCATGATGGGATATACAGCGATTGAGATAACTTGTACCCAGCTGTTTAGGGCTTTATGGGTCAAAACCAGCACTATGAATTGTGTCTGTTAGTGGATTGTCAGTCAACAGAGTTGCTGTAATAAAGGAGGATTGTGCGAACCCTGTGACCAGCTTGTTAGCTATCTAGGTGCCATGTTTTGAACTTGCTTAAGTTTCCAAACACATTCCAGAGGTAGCCTCAGCTAGAGCATGTTACAGTAATCTAGCCAAGATGTAACCAAGACATGTGTCACCATGGCCAGATCAGACCTTCCAGGAATGGGTGCAGCTGGCACACCAGTTTTAAATGTGCAAAGGCACTCTTGACCACTGCCAAAATCTGGGCATTCAGGCTCAGAGACAAATCCATTTTCAAAATCAATTAACATAAACATCATGAGGGACTCAAATAGTATGTAGAAGTCCCCCTTATGGAAGCATAAAAATTCAAGCAAAATTATCAAAGGATTTATTAATTCAACACTGCAAAGACCAGGCAGAAAGCAGAAAAATTACATTAAAACTGAATTTTTAAAAAAGAACTAAGGTCCAAAGCACTGTATTCCTTCCTCTGAAATATATCACACGTTTCTTCCTCAACTTTGACTCAAGGCAGCTCATAGGAAGGAAACAACAGCACCAAGAAAATTATTAAAAACACAGAGAACCACCATCATCATTTGAGAACCGCAGAGCTGGAAGGGACCAGATCATTCTTGCAGAATTAAAACATTTGTTTGTGCACAGAATTAAGGCTTCCCAATAAAAATAAGGTCAATTAAAACAGGAACAATTTTCACTTTAAAGGCAATTAGGGGGAAAAGAAGTGAGATTAGAAAAATATACCAGTGATGGGTGTCACCTTAGACGCTAGGCCTGAGGCGCTGGGGCTCTCCTCCGCCAGAAACAGCGGCTTGGTGGTTTCTGCCTGAGGGAATAAGAGAGTCGGCGTCTGAACCGGCGGTTGAGATGCCTGGGCAGGTAAGTTCTTCTTCAACATTTGGGCAAAACTCGGCACTCTGGATGCGGGGGGCCGGTCACTCGCCATCTTTCCCTTCCTGAAAAAAACAAAGCCGAGGCTGTTGAGTATTGTTTACTAACTTGTGCCAGCGACTCTTCAGGACTGAGGCGTGAACGCAGAGGCTCTTCCACCCACATGGCTCCCCCATTAACCCACAACAACACTCCCAGAAAATGATACTGCGGTGGGGTGGAGGAGAGGGGGGGGGAAAGCAGCCTCAAGATCTATTCGAACAAACCTTCGCCACGAAAATACAAGTCCCTTTCCTTGAGGCCCGAGGGAGGCTCATTCACTCCCTTTCTCACCTGAGGCTCCCGGGAAGAGGACACCGGAGGGCTGCAAGCGCTTGCTTTCTCTTTCTTTTTTATATTGGAAAGGGAAGCTCTCCCAGTATTCCGCCCGCCCGCCCGCCAACGGCCACCAACGGAACTTCGCCCTACAGAAACCACCACGTGCAGACGACGCCCGGCGCCCGCGTTTAAACTCTCCCTCTTCGCGTCCTCCGCCAGTGACACGTGATTTACACTGCTCGCGCGCTCTCGCTCTCTCACGCACAAAACAAAAATTGCTTAATTCTTACACACACACACACAGAGAGAGAGAGAGAGAGAGAGAGAGAGGAGTAAGGGTATCTCTGTCGCCGCAACACGAGGGGTTGGGGAAGAAGGGCGGTCCTGCGGAGACCCTTTCCCGTTAAGGTTTATTCAGAGTTCTGAACCAGAACGGAAAGCTTGGAGGAGACAAGATGCCGGGGGGGGGGGTTTCCCCTGGGGGCAAAGGAGGCCCTGATCCACCCTACGGTCATGGCACTCTGTGGCGACGTAGGCGTTTTAGTTTAGCGTAGGTTCCCTTGCAAAGCCTCCGGGAATATATTCCTTTGCACGGTTCATCAAACTGCTAGCTTCAGACTCTCTTGTCAGTATTTCGAAATGGAGGGGAAGCAGGAGCAGAGGAAGATTTCCAGTTTGGGGATATTTTGCTGTTCCTCCGCAGAGTTTTAGAAGGGATGAACAGGATGGAGTGGAGGGCCTGTCTGTCCCATATGTAAATATCCATTTTTGCACCTGGCCTTACAATTTCATATTGTGCAAAACATCACTGCTGTGGCTTCAGGGGACCTCGATATCTAACCGAGCGCCTCCTTCCAATTAGATCTGCCCACCCTATAAGATCATCCCGGGCAGGGCAGTTGAGAGTTCTGACCTCAAGAGAAGCCCGGAAAACAATTACTAGAAATTGGGTCTTCTCCGCGGTCACTCCACAACTATAGAACTCTCTCCTGCCCGAAATCTGCCTGGTCCCTTCACTGGGCACATTTAGGAAAATGTTAAAAACCTGGCTATTTAAGCAGGCCTTCCATGGCTCAAGGGGGCGTTTCTTTCAAAAAGGTTAAGAACCACTGCCATAGTGTTTGCTAAAATGTCATCCATCACACCACCATGCTTCTTGTCTTTTATATTTTATGGTTTTAACTGTAATTTATTCTATTGAATTTGTTTTCACTGCACTTTGATATTTGATTTATGCCCCATTGTATTATTATTTTGTATATGTATTATTTTATTCTGTTGTCTGTTTATCTGTTCTAAAGTGGTCCTGGCTGCATGTTGTCTGTTTATCTGTTGTAAAGTGGTCCTGGCTGCCAGATAGGCAGTATATAAATCAAATTCTTCTTCTTCTTCTTCTTCTTCATCATCATCATCATCATCATCATCATCATCATCATCATCATCATCATAATAATAGTCATCATCAACATCTACCCCCAGTAGCTGCAATGAGTGCCAGTCTTCCATTAGCAGTCTCTGTAAAGTAAACCAAAAGACTGGTCTTGCATAGCGTGTCCCCCCCCCAACAATGGCCCCAAATGTAGCTTTTTCCAGTCTTGAAGTTGGGAAAAGCTACACTGGTGGACTTCAGGTTGTGACCAATCCATAAGGGTGTGGTATATTGTTCCAAGGAGCAGATGGCATTTCAGTCATTCCCAGGGTTGCACTGTAAGTTACTAGCCTGGTATATCAAATACCAGATGGCATTTCAGTCATTCCCAGGGTTGGGAATTCCCAGTTATTAGCCTGGTATATCAAATACTAGTGTTTTGCCACCGTACTTAGAATTTTATTAAACATAATGCATATACTCTTTTGTCACTGAACTCTAATGCAGTGGTCCCCAGCCGTTTCCCAACTGCGGACTGGTTGGGGGGGGCATGGCACGCTCGTGTGTGTGTGGGTGTTGCGCTTGCGTGGGGCATGGCACACTCACACGCATGTGCAGGGTGCTCTTGGGGGGGAGTGCACTAATGTAAACATCTCAGCAGGGATGTGCACCTGTGAGTTAATGGGGGCCTCCCACTCGCATCATCTTTCCACATTGGCTGAGATTGCTAGGATTATTGGGAGAACCATGTCATCCCCTACCATTGCTGTCTACCTGTTGAGTGTCACTGGCAGGCTTCTTTAACCTGTTTGGTAGGACATGCTTATTGTCAATGTACAGTATTTACCAAGGAAAGGAGTGCATTCTCATGAGTGGAGGAACCCATTTTGTTATGCCCACAAATGTATGGTGACTGTATGCATAAATGACATCCAAATGCTCTATCTTTAACAGCTCTACTCAGGTCTTGGAAGCTAAAGCCTGTATCTTCGTTTGTAGAGTTAATTGATCTCATATTTGGGCTTCTTTTGTTGTTTGCCACTTTGCTATCATCATTATCTTTTCCAATGAGTTTTCTCACTATGTATTCGAAGCATGATAGTCGGATGATTTACCTTCTGGTTGAGATTTCAGGTTTCATTAGCTCTAGAATCAAATTATTTTGAGCTTCTGGACATTCTTGGATTTTGGCTCAGGTGAACATACCTCAAAGAGCCAGAAAGGGCTCTGGACTCAAGGTCTTCAGACAAATTATTTGATGCTCCAGATAGCTGGGAATTGTCCAGGAAAAAAAGCAGGTGCCACAGTCATATCAGGACCTCTGTGCAATATGAAATTATGCCAAGACACTTTGGCTGCTGAACCTTTGCTACAGTGTTCTTTCCTTCTTACACAGGTTTGCCAGAGCACTGAAGAGCTAAGTAGAGCTCATTTTAGTGGCACCTGACTAGTTATGACTCTCTGGTTTCTAAACTCAGTCAATCTGTCTTTACAAATGTACTGGAGACTTCTCAATGGTTGAAATTCAGTAATGAGTCACTACTAGAGTAGGCCCACTGAATCAGAAGGAATTTGGTGAGTCAACTCTTCTGTATGTATGTTCCAGTGATTCAATGGCCCTAACTCTGCTTATGACTTATTATGGAATTTTAATGCTAATGCCTTCTAATCTACTAGTCAAATATGTTCCATTTAGCAAGTTTGAAAATTGGCAGTCGTGACTGATGAGGCTGGATTCTTTCAAGAAGGTCCTTAATGTATTGCCATGTTGTATAGTGTTAAATGGGAAGCATTCCTAATCTGTTGTAGAGAGGTGAATTTTGCGGGACAGCACTTCATCTGGATTCACCTTGGGCAGCATTGTTCCAATAAATTATGAAAAATAACAAATCAGAATGGTACCCTTCAAGAAAATCTTAGTCTAAAAGTGTAACCCAGTGCAAGTGAGCTTCCTATTTTAATTTATTGTATTTCATACATAAGAGAAACATGTTGGGTAGAGAACAATTGTGTGGTCATCTTATATTCCCAAATTGTTTCTAAATATAAGTACAGTGGTGCCTCGATTTACAAACTTAATCTGCTCCAGAAGATAGTCGTAACTTACATTGGTCGTAGGGTGAAGCACCATTTCCTATAGGAATGCATTGAAACCCCCATTTGCCGGAATCCTCCCCAAAAAAACAACGCAAGCTCCATCGGAACGCGGGGCCAAAAATAAAATCACAAAAAACAGCAACAACACAGCAAGTCTCATCGGAACGCGCTGGGACCAAAACAAAAAACAAAAACCACAGAGAAAGAGAGAGAGAGAGAGAGACAAACAAACAGAGCAAGCCCCATCCGAATGCGCTGGGGCAAAAAAAAAATCAACAAAAAACACGAACAGCAAGCCCCATTGGAACACACTGGGGCTGGAAAAAAATTGCCAAAAACCCCACAACACAGCACAGAAACGTCACACACACACACCAGCCCAAACCCACCCTGCAAAACCCTGTACTCAGAACAGGCATTTCTAAAAGCAGAAAGCAGCACCAGGCAGTCGGAAGCCTCCTTCGACACTCTCCAACTGTTGAGGCAAAAGAGCTACAAAGAAGCTGCCTCTTTGCTGACCAACAGTTAGTACAGTAATTTAATTTCCTTTTTCCTGATCGTAACTCAAAGCTCCGGTCTCAAGTTGAAGCAAAATTTTGTGGCTGGAGCTAGCCGTAACTCAAATTGATCGTAAGCTGGGATGTTTGTAAGTCGAGGCACTACTGTAGTATTTATAAAAAAATAATTCCGCAGATGCTTTTGTGGCTGGAGCTAGTCGTAACTCAAATTGGTCGTAAGCTGGGACATTTGTAAGTCGAGGCACTACTGTAGTATTCATAAAAAAATCCACAGATGGAAGTTATTTTCATAATTATGAAATATGCATCCAAGTTTATGAGGTAGAAATTGCAACAGGGAACATAATTTATTCTATTTAATTGTATTACTACTTCAGTATTTACAACTCCAAATTATGTGCTATTCTGTTCAGAACAATATACAGTGGTGCCTCAACTTACGAACGTCCCTACTTACAACCATTTCGATTTATGACCAGCTCCGGCTGCAAAATTTTGCTTCTACTTGTGACCGGAGCTTCTACTTACGAACAGAAAAAGGCAGGGGAAAAAGGTGGGAAATTTAGATTTTTAACTGTAGGTGGTGACAAAGCTGCTTCTTTATAGCTCTTTCGCCCGAGCAGTTAGAGGGTGTGTGTCAGAGGAAGTTCAGGATTGCTTCACTTCTGCTTCTGAGTGAGCGTGTGTTTGCAGGGAGGTTTCGGGCTGCCTGGTAAGGTAAGGTGCTGTTTTCTGCTTTCAAAAACTGTTCTGGGTGTTTTGCAGTGTGGTTTTGAGCTGGGGGGATTATGTTTCTGTGCTGTGATGGGTCTTGGGGGGGTTTGGGGAAGTGCTTTTTCTCATTTTCGATGGGTCTTTGGGGCTTTGTTTTCCCCCCCATTTCCAGGTTTAGTTGCTTTTTGGGAGGTTTCCCCCATTTCCGATGGGTCTTGGGGGATTGTTTGTTTTTTGCTTTCCCCCATTTCTGATGGGTTTTGGGGGGGGTTGGTTGCTTTTGAGGGGGTTCCCCATTTCCGATGGGTCCTGCATGCTTCCCTTGCTTTTTCCTGT